AAAAAAAACAATGAACAAGTAGAATAAATTTAATTTTTAAATTCTATATTCTCAAATCTAACCCAACGAAACTTTGAAAAAAAAAAACACACCAGTATTTTTTTTTTGATGAAATGAAAGCAAAAAAAAAAAAAATTTGTTGATTGGAAGTCAACTGATCAACTAAAAGAAAAAAAAAAACTGATCTTTTATGTCTGTTGAAAACTGGTAAATTCCAAGTTGTTGTTGTTGTTGCTTTTAATCTGTAAATGCCTTCTTGGAACAGAAAATAGAACAAAAATAAATTGGACTTAGATAAGACAGGATGAAACAGGATGAAGTAAAAGGAAATGGCATGAAAAGGAAGAGAATATTGGAAGAAGACAGCGGGAAGAAGGATCAACTGGAGAGAAGGATAGGCGAAAAAGGGAGGAATAGTTTTTAGTGATTTGCAAAAATATTTATTTTTTAAAGAAAAAAAAAAAAACACCGTAAAACGAGGGGAAAGATCTGTTCAATAAGTTTTATTCAATGGTGAAGGATAAACGAAAAGGAAAAGAGGAACGAAACGGAAATGAGAGTTTTCTGTGTTTTTGATATGAAATGTTGACAATTTCAATTTTGACAGCATTCAATAGTTTCTTTTTTGCAAATACCAATCTTTGAGCAACAACAAACTATGCAAAAAAAAAGTGCTCAATTTTTTTTTCAGATTTTAATATGATACACGTGTTCTGACGAAAAAAAAAAAGGAAAATAAAAAGCAGCAGTTGTAGTATTAAAAAATTTACGGAGAGAAAAAAATGCAGATTATATATTTCTTTTTCGTTTTTTTAATTGAACAATAGAAATGCTTCATAGGAACGCTTTAGTGATTATATTTCCATTGAATATACTGATTGATAGACAAATAATTTAAAACTTCCACTGTTTGTAATGAATTTGTTACTGAGATTATCGCACAACAATAACCGTCCTTTTTCCAGTTCGATTAATTTTTTAATTATTGAAATTTTTTTCTGAAAAAAAAAATTAAAAGAACTCAACGTTAACATTGGTAAAAGCAAACTTTGGATATCTTGAGCGGAAAAAGAGTTCTTTTTTTTTCTGTGAACTAGAAACAAGACAATTCACTCCCGGGATAAATATGTGAAAGCACATTAACACTAAATTTTGCACTTATACAGTCAATATTTACGTATATTTGGTCAACAATAGTTTTAAGTTTATAGATTAACTGTTGTTTGACGAAAAAACTGTGTCTCAGAATTTAGTCTATTATCTGCCTTCAGGTGGAGGAGTTTTTAACAGTTTTCAAAAAAAAAAAAATCTCTTTTTGCGGTCCCCAGATGATGGATTGCAGTCGCCGCAAAACAATGTTTCCACACACATACACACACACACACACACACACACACACACACACACACACATACACACACACACACACACACACACACACACACACACACCACACACACACACACACACACACACACACACACACACAGCACACACCGATAACAACGGCTGGATGAATATATGGAAAAATATATAGAGGAAGATGGTGGTGAGGAATAGGAGGAAGAGGAGCGGGTGATGGAGGAGGTGGTGGTTAGCAATGGTGGCGGTGGTAATGGGAAAGGAAGCGGGAAAAATGAAATTGTTCAGCGACCACATAAGTTGAGAAGGGTAAAATTTACGCCGTTTGGAAACGAATATATGCGAAAAAGCAATTGTTCTTTGTAAGGAAAAAAAATTTTTTTTTTTGTTCAGAAACTTTTATTTATTTATTTATTTTTTTTTTTTTGTTTTTGTCTATCTAAGTTATTTTTAAATTTGAACAATAAAAAGACCTAAAAATCAAGAAAAAAAAAAAAAAAAAAAAAAAAA